TTACATGCACTTCTGGGCAATTTAAAGATTCAGAGTACTTTGGAAGCTTACACATCGTTTAGTCCTTTCTCTTTGTCTTCTTATACTACTCAATCTTATCTGGTAGTAGCATCCGATCTACATATCGATCTTCAGATCCCTTTGGATACTAGGGGGTTGTTCTCCCAACCGCGGTTTCGATGGGAATGGTGGTGTGCACGGATGGACCTATGAGCAGCAAGAGCTGCCTTTCGACAATCACGTAGTATATGATAGGCCCTTACCTTTGTCTCGCTTGTTGCGATCTTGCTATAAATCTGCATATAACGAGACATGCAGTAGTCAGTTTCTGTAGGCTTAAAGGATATTTCTGGCAATTGTTATTTAACGATTGTTTTGACTGGCTACTTTGATTGATAATGTGATTTCCTTAATTTCCTTGACTGATGCAATTTTCTCGTTCCATTCAATGTAATATTAAGTTCAGGACAGTTATAGTCCAATTCTTATGCACAGGATGTAGGATAATATCATTAGATCATGGAAAGAATTATTTCACTAAAGGAAACAATTGTAAGAAAACACTCATCGTCAAATTATTATTGTTAATTTACACAGGCTGTTTGGTTCACCAAGGGGCAATTTCTATTGGTGAATTGAATATGCTAACAACATTTCAGACAATAACTACCAAGGTCTACAAAGCGAGAAGTCCTTATGATATAATGAAAATTCATCATTATTGTTCATTTCTCCCAGTGAACAGGCTTTGAGCAATCACTAAAGATTTTTTTAGAATTAATACAACAGAAAATTTTAAATATAAATGGGTATACCCTACTTTACAGCAATGCATGCAGTAGACTAGAACAGATTATCAGTCTTAGAGACACATTGACTGCCATTTAAAAAAAAACTGAAGAAATGCATTGCATTTCATCAGGGTTAAGATAGTTTCTCACATCCAAGACATACATTGCAGCTAATTCACTTGCAAGGTAAAAAATAATACACATTTTGAGTTTAATAGTTTAATTTAACCATTTTCTCAGCTTGGGATGAACATACAAACAATAATTAGAAAACAAGGCAATGACCTTGGCATTTACGAGTATGCTCTCCCATACCCATAAAATTAACAAAATATCATATCTTCCTCACCACATTCTCCTAAAACATGAATCTAAGAGTATGGAAGTTGAATACATTCTATCATAAAAGAAAAAAATACTCATCTCCTTGTGAGTATTTGTGTTATATTACATTAGCATTTGGTGGCCCAATAAATCTGTGAAAAA